TAAAATTTTAATTTATTTTAAAAACCAAAGACTAATATGTACCTTCTACTTAAATTAAATATAAGACATACATCACTTTGGATTGCATTATAAAAATAAAGAAAAGAGAAGAAGGAAATAAATATTAAATATTTTTCAAAGGAATTGTTTTTTCTTCTTCTTCTGGGTGCGTATATGCCATCTGGTTCTGCCCATTTCTCCACCTTTCCTCCTACCTTCATTGCTTTCAATCGCTTTGACCATTTCGTCCTTCACCTTCCCCATTCGATCCATTTACAGTTCCAATCTCCACCATCCTTTTATTCTACTCCACTTCTCCTATTCATTTCTGTGATCCGATTCCTCAGAAAATCGCTAACTTGCTTTCGCAATACCATTTTTCGAGAATCTTTCTTCGTCTGCTTCTGGGTTTTTATTGAAGAATTTGAGGTTAGATATTTCGTTTTTTTGGTGGTATTAAGCATGTCGGGGGCAGGATTGCAGCTGACTCGGGGGCGGGACAATCCTGCCAACGTGCGGAGGGCGCATCAGAATCAGCTGAAGGATCAACGTCGTAGAGTGCAGAGCGATGTTACGGCGAGCCAATCGTCGTCCGTTGAGGAGAAATTGGTGCCGTCGGTTAACCAGGAGCTGGAGAATCGGGTCGGGTTGGGTGACCCACAAAAACCGGTTGCGGTGCCGGATTTTGAGCCGGTCGTTTCGCCTTTGAGTAATTTGAAGCGGTTTTTGGAGTCTATCGCTCCATCTGTGCCTGTGCAGTATCCATCCAAGGTTTGTGTTAAGTGGCCGTTTTAAACCTTCTGTGCGTTTCTCTTTCCGAATATGTTTGGTTGGTAGGAAAATTTAGAAAACATGAAGGAAAATTAAATGGAGTTGGGAACTTGATAATTTTAATCCAATTAAAATCCTGGAGTTTGGCCGTTTCATTTTGTTTGAAGTAAACGAGAAAGAAGGCATGAGATGCTGGGTAACTCAGTGGTAATCTGGAAGTAAAAGATATTGAGTTCAAGTAACATGACATGTGGGTGGGGTGGGTTAAGGGATGGGAGAGAGTTGCCTCCCATTTTGCAAACCAACGTAAAAAAAAGCATGAAGGGAGTGAGAATCGCTTAAGAAGAACAAACTTTATCCAACTATCTTAGCGTTATACCGAAAAAAAAAAAACAAATTTTTCTTATCCAAAAAAAAGTAGAGAGAACAAATTCGATTCTTCTTCTAACTTTTTGGAGTGGAATACTTGTTGGTTAGCTTTTGATATATATATTTTGCAAATAATTGGATGAATCCATGGCAGACAACTATGCGAGGATGGAGAACATGTGATGTGGAATTCCAGCCGTACTTTGTTCTAGGTGATTTGTGGGAGTCCTTCAAGGAATGGAGTGCTTATGGTGCTGGGGTGCCACTTATTTTGAATGAGAGTGATTCTGTAGTTCAATATTATGTTCCATATTTGTCGGGTATCCAGATATATGTCAACTCTATCAAATCATCAACAAAATCAAGGTAAATACATATGTGTCGGGGTTAGAAATTGATGAGGATTCTGGTTTAAACCTGTGTCTTGTTTGAACTACAAAAATGTTCACCTATCGCTCGTATCATTCTTATCTTTTTATGTGTTCATATCATTAAATTGTTAATCTACCACTGATGTTTTGCTTGCTTCTATTGAAATATCTAAAACGTTGATTTCTCCACTGATGTTTTACATCTACATTCTCCTGCTGATTGAGTGCTTTGATTTAGTCTTCCCATCTATTGATTGCATATACCTGTCTCCATTTACTTGCTTTGTTCTAGTCATGTTCTAATCACATTTGGGCTGTGAAATGCTCCTCCCCACCCCCCACCCCCCCCAATGGCAAAAAAACCCCTTCTTTTCCAAGATGTAAATTATCATTATCTACTTTTATGTTCAAACCTCTGCCATCAGCTCTCGTTTTCAATGAACTTCATAATTCATATATGTACATACATCATATATGCTAGCATTGTAGGATGGAAAGTTGTGAGTTCCCTTTGATTTATCCTGGATATGGTAGGGTTGGTTTTGTGTTCATCCAGGCTTTTAAGCTCTTCCTTGTCTTCATTATTCCTTCTTGTTGTAGTGGGTGTATGATTGTTTAGTTCTACATTTCAGTCTTAACTTTGTTCTTCTTGTGTCAAAATCCTTTATGTGGATAATGGATAATGGAATGCTAATTCATATGTGATGCGAAAGCACTTAGCATCATGGTGACCTTTTTTAAGTCATTGATCATACTGTCTTATTTGGGGCTAAATTATGTACTTACCTTCATTTTTCTAAAACTCACCCCCCTTAAGCCTGAAATTCATTCTTTCTTGCAAAACTCATGCATTAGAAAGTTCTATTCCTTGGATGTTTTTCCTCAAATTAATGTAATTTTCTTTTTCAGCAATTTATTTGTATTAATAAATGATGCTGTTAATTTCTTGTATCTAGTAAAGAAAGATGGTATTTGTTTTGTTTAATATTCAACTGATGGTAATCTTCATGGTAGGCAACCAGTAGAGGACAGTGACAGTGATTTTAGGGACTCAAGTAGTGATAATAGCAGCGATTGTGAACTTGAAAGAAGATCAAATGGCGTGAGAGAACAATTCAATCATCACAATGTGGTGAGTGAAATTCCTCTGAAGATGGATAGATTGTCTTTGAGAGATCAGCAGATCAGTCATCAAGAAGACTTCTCTAGTGATGAGGGTGAATCTGTTAATTCTAGAGGTCACTTGCTTTTTGAGTATCTTGAACACAATCCACCTTATAGCCGGGAACCATTAGCTGACAAGGCTAGTACTTTCTTCACTCTCTTTCCTTGTCTTGTTTTCAACATGCTTTCTAATTCGAAATAACATTAGAGGCTTGGATCTATTCTTTCTAATTCTCTCCTTTATTGCTTCTTGATACTGTTACAGATATTAGATCTTGCTTCACATTTCCCTGATCTGAAGACTCTGAGAAGTTGTGATTTACTACCTTTTAGCTGGGTTTCTGTGGCCTGGTATTATCATTACCTCAAATTTGCACTTGTTTATAAGGATTTATTTCCACATGAAACTGAAAGGTAATGATGGACCCTTTGTAGGTATCCAATTTACAGAATTCCAACAGGACCCACATTAAAGGATCTAGATGCTTGCTTTTTAACATATCATTCGCTTCACACGCCAGTTGGAGGTAATACAGATTTTCCCTGTTCAATTTGCTTCTTCTTTTTCCTTTTTTTTTTTAATAAATGTTGAGTGGCTGTCCCTGTCTTATTTCATTTGTGTGTCATGCTTGTAATTGATCTTTAATTTTGGGTGATACCAATGCCAGGTGCTCACTTGTATTTTTAAATTTTCTTCTCTTCATCATTCTTTCTCCTCTTCCTTGATGGCTTCTAAGTATTCCCAATGACAGCTTGTTTTATTTATTTGGTAGCTTTCACAAGTAGCTTATCATGCTGGTTTCTTCCAGGCACACAAAGTGCGGAGACTGCAGTTGTAACCTATCCCAGTGAGATAGATGGTGTTCCAAAGATGTCCTTGCCTGTTTTTGGTCTCGCATCATACAAATTTAAGGGTTCCTTGTGGACACCAAATGGAGGATTTGACCGCCAGTTGACAAGCTCCCTCTTGTATGCTGCTGACAGTAGGTTGAGAACATGTCAGGTCAACCATCCAGATTTCCTGTTTTTCTGCCGTAGGTGATAGTCAGATATGTCTATAACTGTAGTACTCCTACCATTCCAGATGTACAGTTGTAGCTCGTTACATAAAGTTAAAATCTCTTGATTTTTAGGTCAAGATCAAAAGGTTAGTCTAATTCTCACTTCATAATAATTTATAAAGATTAAAAAAAAAGAAGAAGAAACTGATGCAGGTAGAGTGGTTTGGAATGGAAGGAGAGCTTTTGCAATAATGCTCTTGACATAAACTGAATTAGGGAATTCAGAGTTAGAGACGCTGATGAAGAGCTGGATCCAGCCACAGCCAGCCAATTTAAAGGTGGTTTCGCTTGCTGTCGGCATATGTTTTCTTTATTTGTGGTCACCATATTTTTCCTGAAGTTGTAAGAGACCCGGCCTTTTTTCTGTCCTGATGTTCAGTTAGGATTTTTATTTAACATTGTACACGGGATTTGTTAGTGTGATGGAAAGTGCCAACTCTGAGCCATTCCAATTATGTATTTGTACTGTAACTATATTGTTCATTAACTTCTGTTATACAGCAAAAAACGAATTTCTTGGTCGTTCTTTGATACTAATAAAATATTTTGGCTAAAGACCAAATCAAAAATAAATAAGCCTTTTGTAGTCTGTCTTTCCTTCTTAGTGCTCGACTTCCTTCTCAATAATAAGGTCTTGAAGTTCTCTCTCCATCGCCTTCGAACAAATTTGACTCATCATGGTGTGAAACGACATCAATTCCCACAGCTTTCCTACTGGCATTTTCTCCATTAGCACCCTGGCAATCCTCTCCTTCTCTTCATTCATCCTCAATCTTCTCATGTATGAAAGCATTCCTCACTGTAGCTCCCATTTGCTTCAGCCTCTTCTCCTGCTGCAAACTCAACGCAATATTTGCCTGCACAGGTATCGTAATGGATGCATACGTTAGTGTTAGCCCTTTTTATTAAATAATCTATCCAGTGTTCTTGGCGAAAATAGAATTTTATCTTGCAAACCTCCAGATACTTGGCTCCAATTTCCACCTCAGTTTCATGTCCGGATTGGCTTATGATTGTTCTTTTCTTCTCCATTTCCTGGTTTAGCTTAAGAGGCTTCGCAACACAAGTTGAGCTGCTGAGCTTTTTCTCATAAGCAGTCACTGCCCTCACAAACTCCTGCATAATAAAAGGTAGTAATTTTCAGAGAAAAAAAATACAAAAGTGAAAATCATCAAGCTCATGTTTAAGATTTCTGTAAAGCATTGTGGCTATGGCTTTTTAGTATTTTGCTATAAAAAATTATATTATTACTTGATCATTACTTTTAAAAGAGTTATATATATTAATATAATTACTAAAGTATAAAAATATCAATTAAAATTAATATAATTATAATCAACTACCACTTCTATAAAACAACGCTGATTGCCACCAAGGTTAGCATCATGCATAGTCTTACCTGATATGCAGCTGGGCATCCAGGATAATCAAATTTTTCTGAATCCTGATCCCTCATTCGCTCTGGATGAAACTGGAGACCCATGATGAATTTTCCCTCTTCAGGATTATAAGCATCAGGATCGTAGAACCCCTCAATCAAACCATCTGCAGCAAAACCCATCGGCACAAATCTGTGTGCCAATTTTTTCACACCTTGGTGGTGGTAACTATTTACCATGATTTCCATTTCCTCTTCGTCCAAGGAATCCTTGAACCATTGATGCAGTGGTGTGTCCTTCACAACCTTGACTCCATGCCTGTGCCCATCGTAATTTTCGTAGTCCATATGCACCACCCTTTTGAACCCATCTCCGGATTTCTTCATTAGTTCTTTCTCCACATCCTGGTACAATGTGCCTCCAGAAGCCACGTTAAGAACTTGGGATCCCCTGCAAATACCCAAATACGGTATGTTCCTTTCGAGACAGAGTTTAGCGAGTCTTAGTTCAATTGTGTCCTTTTCCCTGTCAATGGCTGTATCGCTGGCATGAATTTTCCTGACTTCTTCGAGTTCTTCGGGTGTGAAAACAGAGAATTGTGCATCGTAATGGGATGGATCGACGTCCTCTCCTTCGCAGAGGAGAACGCCATGAACAGGTTCGAAGCTTTGTAATAACATGTGGACTCCGCTCACTCGTGGAACGATCACAGGGACCGCTCCATAGTTAACAATGAGATCTAAATGATATTCCCCTGTTCAAAACGGAGGAATAAGAAATTGAGTGAAAAAAAATCAAAAGAAGTATTAAAATCAAGGGGAAAAGGGAGTAATGGAGACGAACCCACAAAATCAACGAACTTGTTCTTACGAACAGCTCGCCGGGAGACGATCAGAACTCTGGGAAGAACCGACGAAATATCGGAAGCCGCCATGCAGGAGGAGGAGGATGTGTTGGCGCCTTTTCAAGGAAGAAAATAAGAAAAAAAAGGTAAGGGAGAGGCCTTAGGAGGATTAGATCTTTGTGAATTTGATTGATTTGAATTGGAAAAATGAGGATCTGTGTAGATTACAATTTGATCTTCTTTATGTATTTTAGTTTGGAACAAAGAACATAATGGAGAATTTTATGAGTAGAAACAGACGCTGGCAGTCGAGGCGCCTCGTATAATTGGATGTGCAAGCGTTCGCTACTTTGATTTGCCTTAAATAGCAGAGGATTGTAACATTATCCTAGTATTTAGTGCTGATGTGGAAATGATAAAATGTGGATGGATCTTGATTTAGGGATGGTATTTTTTTTGGGAAATGATTTTTGTATATTTTTTTCTCATTTTTTTTGCATAATTTTTTTGTCTCATCTTTTTGTAGGATATTTTTATTTCATTTTTTTTACAATTTAATATGTTCTTAAAATGATTAATTTTTGTATAATTTATGTACACATGAAAGTTGTATGAAAAGTAATATAAAAAAGTTATTCCTTTAACACCACCCATTTTTTTTTCTTTGAAAAGTGATAGAAAGGTAAGAATTTTATGGACCAAAATTTAATGTAAATGATATAATATGAGTTACC